TTTTTTTTTTTTTTTTTTTTTTTTTTTTACAGTCGCTTAAGCATTAATCGGTTTCACCATTTTAAATATCAATCATTTAACTGTTACTTTTTTTTTTTTAACCAGTCTTTACTTATACATATTTTATTTGAATCTTTTAGGTGCATTTTCTGCATCTCTGTGCAATTTTTATTGTAATAAATAATTAAAATTTGGTTTCTAAACTTCCTCATTCTACGCAGATTACAGTAACAAATGTTTATCGGTATATAATGATAAATCCATTAAGCGGTGAACCTCCGAAAATAACAAAAATATTTCTAAATGTCAGGCAGCATTAATTCCTAATATCTGGTTTATTCATTATAATCTTTCAAAGACAAAAGCTTTATTGCAAATAACAATAAATAACTAATGTCACTGTATTAATCACTTTAAACAGTTTGCTTGATTACAGAAAAAATGTTATTAAAATATTCTTGACAACGTATATTCTAAACACTTCTTCTGTTTGATAATTCAATAGATTTGATGAATGATTAGAATTACACTTATTCTACCACGAATTATGCAGCCAATATTTGTTCTGTGAGCTAAATAATTTAATATGAATAAAAAAGTGGACAACTTGAAGATGAGAACACGATATTCACATTCATAACTGACAGCTGTCTTGTCATTTAAATTTTTTACATTTTGTTTAAACTATATTTGGCTTGTTACAGGTTTATCGTCAAAAAATTTACTGCCGTACAAGGTTTACTGTTTACTGGTTTACTGTTTCAATCGAATGCTAAGATCAAAATCTTTACTCTTTATTTATTTACACAAATGTGTACTATTTTTTTCGAGTGGTATTAAACACAAAAGACCAATTCCTACTGCCTTAAATTTTCGTTCAAATAAACTCTTCAACTTTTTTCCCCTTTTTCCGTCTTTTTTTTTTAACAGAAACCTTGCAGAAGGTTTCTGTTTTTACAAACCTCATTTTACTTGCCTTTCCTTTCTAACGAAAACGTATGCTATAACTGAGGAAGTGAGTTCCGTTTTTGTTCGCTGCTACTTTTTTCTTTCCTTTTTTTGTGCTGTCAATTGTTGCTGTTTACCAAGGCTCTGGCTTTGGTCTATCATCCGTGTATCATCCTCAAACTGCTCAACAACGGAACAACACAGCAACATCCTTGTTCATTGATGCTTCTCAAAATTTTTAATTCCCTCCGAGTTTGAATTTATGCTCTCGTAATTGATTCACCTTTCCAAAAATTATTTTTTGTTCTTTGATTTTTTCTTT